TAATGCATTCTGACCAAAATTTGTATACCTGTAATTTGGGGGGGGGGGCGATGTTACATCACATAACTACAACGTTCATATAGAAATATACAATAAGCATGTCCGTATAAAAGCTAAAATTATAAAAACTCATTTCAAAGTCATTCTGTTTATGGAAGCGTCAAGTTATGAAAAACAATGCTAATACTCAAACAAATCGACTTGATTACCTTTGAAAACTTCTTGAGAGGAAATGGACAAATGTATTTTTCTAACTCATTAGAACGTCTGTCTGATTGAAATACTATTTTTTAAATACAAACATAAATTATTTAATCTTGGTCAGAAGTCTGAACATTGTCCAACAAAATAATAAGAATCTAACATTTAATGATTACAAAAGGATTAATTGCTATATAGTCTTAGTCTTTGTTTTTCTAACGGCGGAAGTGTACCAACATCACCTTGATTACAGAAGAGATCATCTAACAGTCTAAAATTGCTTTTAATTCCCGGGTTTTAATTACATTTTATGTATAGACTTTTTTGACTCTATTCTCATTTTTAAACCTGTTTCTGTTTGCTTATTTAACAATTGTGATAAATTATTCAGGTAGTGTCGAAATCAAAACAATTTTCTACATTATAGTCCCCTCCTCTTGCACTGACTAAATATTAAAATAAGCCAGTCTGATTGCGAATTTACAAATCCTGTAAAAGTAGCTTCAAACCGCCTTTTAATCAGAGAAAACAATAAGTTAATTCATCTGATTGCGAAAATACGAATCAACCTGATTATCTGATCTCCATGCTATTTGATTCGTGCATTATCTACACGTCAGTCGGGCAAGGGTGAAATTATTTCATTTGAAAACAGAAATAAATATCAGAACCCCTCTAGCATAACTATTCGGAAGAAATTCATACAAAAAATAAGGTACACAACTGATGAAGGGTCGCACACAATGCACGCACCCCTCTCCTCCTCCTCCGTGTTTGCCCACACACGACCATATTTGACAATTTTTCTAAAAGCGTTTTCCCCGGGAATATAGGTGTAGCGGTTGCCAGAAGTCGCACAGCTTGGGAGTCAGGGTATCCTGATCCATGCCTCAGCGCCTGACGGGTCTGATATTTAGAGGGGGCGCAAGAATTATTAGGGGGCGGGGTAAACGTGAAAGTTGCCAAAATATCCATAGGCGTAGCCAGGAGGGGGGGGGGGTAAGTTGGTATGTTTATGCAAATTCCGATTGGACTAATATAAAGGGATATTGTTTCATTATGTGGACTTGAGAAAGTCCGACATACTCATTGCTTTCAACCCAAAACTTAAAATAGGAAGTTATCAAGATCCCAAAAACACGATCGCTACTTAAACAATACGTTTGTAAAATCCCGGCGATCGAAATGCAATCAAACTTTCGCAATCAGGTGCCTAATTAGTCTTTTGATCTCTAAAGTTTTACGACTGAACGTTTCAATGAACTCGTGAGAAGCAAACGCAATCATCATATAAACATTTTTCTAGTAAATCTAAAATAGAGTAAAACCCAGGCAAAAAGATCGCGTGTTCATAGTAATTAAGCATATTTCAATTTTGAAATAACAAAAGTCAGTCTCGGAAGAATTTTCCAAGCATTCCCTACTTCGATGCGTTTTTATTGTAAGGGCCGTTTAGCGCCGATATGAATTCATTATAGGGCATTAGGGTTGTGCTTTATTTGTTTTATTTATATAAATGTTATAAAATGTGTACGACACTTTAATGAATTATTTTTAGGGTTACAATGCATATTTGACTTTTCCCTCTAAACGTTTAAAATTCATCTTTATACTTTTCTTAGTTTGCTTCAATAAAATTAACATTGGATCCCAGACAGTTATCAAATTCTCAGACATTTGATTAACATAGTTATTTGTACTTCCTTTGACCAGTGGTGCTGGTGTGATTGAGATTCGAATCTAATCTCTTTCATTTTTATGTAAATTGAGAGGAATAAAGTTTTATTTTAAGCGTTTTAACAATCTTAACGTTCGGCGTGCAGCTCAACTTAATACACAATCAAAGGTCAGAATACAGAAATAAAATATGCCTTTTATTTGATATTCAAGCTCGAGCAATATCCCCGTTATAAAACCAAAATAACTGCGGTTAGGTACCATATCTTGGTTACAGTAAAGACAGGCCATCTCATTCTGGTATGCCAGAGCCACTCTTATCTGCCGATTGTGGAAGGATAAAGACAAAGGGGTCGCGGCTATCGCGATGAGGCCATCTTATTTCTAGGAATTATTTCTGCCTCTCATTCCTTAAACCGGCTTCGTTAAACAGTGCCAAAATATATTAGTCGGAGCCAAAAACAAGACTATTTTTATAGTTAAATCCCCTCACCTTGTCAATGTCTATGCCTGCATCTGGTTTTCCCACCTTTGGGAGGGAGCCGATATACACATAGATTACTTACTGGCCATGGACAGGGGGTGGGCACAGAAACGAACATTCTGGGGTCATAAGGGATACTTGGGGAAGGGGGAGGGGTGGTGGTGAATAGTGAAGTCCGGGCGTGAAGTTAAGGGGTACTGAAATCTTTCTTTTGATATTTAGTGCTTGAATGGAGACTTGTTTCCACTCCCCGCATTCTAGTAGAATTTAAATATTTGATCCAAAGGAGTTATTTTAAATCAAACTTGCATTCCGATTAATTAACACTCCAATGATTGTACCGCTTCACTATTGTCTAAGATAATTATAATAGATTCACGGGACACTATAGTCTTCCTTTTAAACATTAGTGGTTGGATGGAGACTTGTTTCCCCACCCCGTACACTAGTTTTGTAAATTTTAAATATTTGATTTAGGGAGGTATTTGCAATCCAACTCTGATGATGCAAGACTAGTCAGCCAAGACTAAAGTAGGAACGTATTATCATTTAGACTATTGAGTTCATTAAATTATAATTCCATAGATATCATATTTAATCCTGTCAACACAATAATGGTATTAATTGGCATGATACATGTATGAAGTCAGAGACGGTTTAAAAAGTTGTTTAGATTAATGATAGTATTAGGAAAAATCCTAACTCAAAGTTTTTGTTCTCTCGCAATCCAGAGCAAACCACTCGCCGGGCAAGCATTCTTTAAAAACGTGAAGTTTTCACCATGTTGACGAGCAGTTTTGAAAATTGTCCAATTTGAACCATCGCCTTGTATATTTCTGTAACTGCCCCCCCATTGACACTCGAGTGTAAGAATCCTTTCCACACTGTCAATGGTTTTACAAAATAGTTCATGTCAGGAAGGGGGAGGGGTGAGTGTGGAGAACAATCACTGACTGCGATTTGTATGATTGAACATTATACACTTATCATAGATTCGTAAAGAATAGTTTTAAAATAAACAGCTTGTTTTATGTTATGATTGGAGTGATGTATGTATAGAAGAATGACACTGGTTTTGAAATATCTTAATTATCCCATTGAATGAAGCCATCCGTCCCTCTGTCCATTCTTAACTCATACTAGTGGACTGATTTGATTTAAAGGAGAAGTCTCGGTGTAGAACGTGTACACACTAATGGGAACGAATTTTACTCATTTCTATTTAGGATTCGTTCATATACTAGCGGGGCTTTAGAGCATTTACAAACGCACGAATTGTATTGTTTTAAGGCAACTTTTATGACATATAATGTATTTAAAGCTGATTAATTTTAGATTATATTTGGTTCAATTTTACAAATAATGAATAGTATTACAGTATATCGAAAAATATACAATGATTTACATTAAATTGCGCAGACTGCAAACAATGTACATGGTTGGCGAATTTGAATGCGCGTTCTTGATAATAAGAAGAGAATAAAAATTAAAGGTTGAACTTAAAAATCAAACATTTTCTTTTTTAAACATAATAAATCTTTAAATCAAGAAAATAAAGAATAAGATTGATGATTGAACTTTTCATAGTCAACTGCGACTGTGTCGACGCATGTTTATTTACTTAGCTAATTAGATATGTAAAATTGTTAATGGCCGCAACGGATAATACGTACATGTAAGCTGTTCGGATAAGACATTTCCATATGATTAATAACAAATCCCGGGCAGAATCTTATTCAACAGTACCTGATCTTATTATTTATTATTCAATTTGGATAATAAATCTATTATCTCGTCGTATTGATGTTTATTATATAGTGTTTCTCGTTGTGTTAGGAAGAAATGAACTACAGTATAAATGCTACAATGTCCAATCAAATGATCCTGAAATTGAAAAATATTCAAAAGTAATTCAAATAGTTTCAATATTCTATACAAGGCTGCGCTATCAATACACTACATGGTATCTTTATATTTTTCGCGCAAAAACATCAATATTTCACTGGCATTAATGTAAAATATAAAACGCATTTTCACAAAACAATTCATGATATGACGATTATATAATTTGTGTTCCGGTTTTCAGCTGTTTCGTGCTTAAATGGAGGTGTAAATGATTTGGGACAATGTGCATGCGCTAACGGATACACGGGGAAATATTGTGAAATAGGTACGTTTAATTTTTCAATATAAAATTGAAATGTGTATTGGTTAAATATGCAAGCACAGTGACACATCGGAATACCCTGACAACGGTTAAGTCAGATACCGTTGTCACAAATGGCGGTCATCCGTGACACTTTCACAAGATGATATTCCACTAGCCCTCTGGGCTTTGTGGAATATCACTTGTGAAAGATACACAGATATTCACCTCAGAAGGGTGAACTATTTGTTCAGTACTATTCTAGAGATTATAGAAAACACTTTTGGGAAAAATATGATACGCAAGGTAAAATCAGCACAATTAGATAAAGAAAATGTCAAGAACATATACAATAGGTACAATAAAACAATACAATAATATAGATAGATACAATAATAACTTCATTCAAATACCATAGAATTGGACGTTCTTGAAAATTTAAATTTTCATAAAAGGTATATAATTACGTGCAAATGAGTTTGTTGCTAGATCATGGATAGTGAGTATGAGTTGAATGATATGTATTTCCTTGCAGACATTGATGAGTGTGCTAGCAGTCCATGTTTGAATGGTGGAACATGTGTGGATGGAGTCAATGGATACACGTGTGGTTGTATTCCTGGATATGAGGGTTTGCATTGTGACGTTGGTAAGTAGATATGATGTCCTCTACGATTCAATAGGCAAGTTTATCGCCAGATCATGGATTTTGAGTATTAGTTGAATAATATGTATTTCCTTGCAGACATTGATGAGTGTGCTAGCAGTCCATGTTTGAATGGAGGAACGTGTACAGATGGAATTGATGGTTACGCATGTACTTGTATTCCTGGATATGCGGGTTTGAATTGTGATATTGGTAAGTAAATATGAAGTCCTCTAAGATTGAATGAGCGAGTTAATTGCTAGATCATGAATTTTGAGTATTAGTTGAATAATATGTATTTCCTTGCAGACATTGATGAGTGTGCTAGCAGTCCATGTTTGAATGGAGGAACATGTACAGATGGAATTGATGGTTACGCATGTACTTGTATTCCTGGATATGAGGGTTTGAATTGTGATGTTGGTAAGTGGGCATGATACGTTCTAGGAATAAAAGCAAATGTTTTGAAGCTAGACCATTCATTTTGAGTATCAATCTGAGAATATGTACCTCCTTTCAGACACTGATGAATGTACAAGCAGTCCATGTTTGAATGGTGGAACATGTGTGGATGGAATCAATGGATACACATGTACTTGTATTCCTGGATATGAGGGTGTGCATTGTGATGTTGGTAAGTGGGCATGATACGTTCTAGGAATAAAAGCAAATGTTTTGTTGCTAGACCATTCATTTTGAGTATCAATCTGAGAATATGTACCTCCTTTCAGACACTGATGAATGTACTAGCAGTCCATGTTTAAATGGTGGAACATGTGTGGATGGAATCAATGGATACACATGTACTTGTATTCCTGGATATGAGGGTGTGCATTGTGATGTTGGTAAGTAGATATGATCACGCGGTACTAACTTCAACCGTTAATTTGAGTTTTTGACCTTCCAGATGCTTGAAAATCAAGGATTGCGAGTCTACTGCACTGTTTTTCTCCAAACTTATACCATTAAAAGCAAAACAAAAATGCCTTTCTGTCGGTGCATTACTTTATTGTAAAGAGCCCCTCGTCCTAGCAGCGTTTTGATCCCCAGCTGTTAGAAGGCCTTCTTACAGCTGGGGATCAAAATGCCACTGGAAGTAGGGACTCTGTTTAAGAGAATAATGTACCATCAGAAAGGGATTTTTGTTATGCTTTGAATGGAATAAGTTTGAAGAAAAACGGTGCAGTATGAGACTCGAAATCCTTGATTTTCAAACATCCGGTAGGTCAAAAATTCAAATTAACGGTCGAAGTTAAGACCGCGTGATGATGTCATCTACGATTGAATAGGCGAGTTTGTTGCTAGATCATGGATTGTGAGTAGTAGTCGGATAATGTGTGTCTCCTTCCAGATATAGATGAGTGTACCAGCACTAATCCATGTTTGAATGGTGGAACATGTGTGGATGGAGTCAATGGATACACATGTACTTGTATTCCTGGATATGAGGGTTTGCATTGTGACGTTGGTAAGTAGATATGATGACTTGTCCTCTACGATTCAATAGGCGAGTTTGTCGCTAGATCATGGATTTTGAGTATTAGTTGAATAATATGTATCTCCTTTCAGACACTGATGAATGTACTAGCAGTCCATGTTTGAATGGGGGAACATGTGTGGATGGAGTCAATGGATACACATGTACTTGTATTCCTGGATATGAGGGTGTGCATTGTGATGTTGGTAAGTAGATATGATGTCCTCTACGATTCAATAGGCGAGTCTGTCGCTAGATCATGGATTTTGAGTATTAGTTGAATAATATGTATCTCCTTTCAGACACTGATGAATGTACTAGCAGTCCATGTTTGAATGGTGGAACATGTGTGGATGGAGTCAATGGATACACATGTACTTGTATTCCTGGATATGAGGGTGTGCATTGTGATGTTGGTAAGTAGATATGATGTCCTCTACGATTCAATAGGCGAGTCTGTCGCTCGATCATGGATTCTGAGTATTAGTTGAATAATATGTATCTCCTTGCAGACATTGATGAGTCTAGATTTTGAGTATTAGTTGAATAATATGTGTCTCCTTGCAGACATTGATGAGTGTGCTAGCAGTCCATGTTTGAATAGTGGAACATGTGTGGATGGAGTCAATAGATACACATGTACTTGTATTCCTGGATATGAGGGTTTGCATTGTGACGTTGGTAAGTGGATATGATGTCATCTACTATTGAATAGGCGAGTCTGTCGCTAGATCATGGATTGTGAGTAGTAGTTGGATAATGTGTGTCTCTTTCCAGATATAGATGAGTGTACCAGCACCAATCCATGTTTGAATGGTGGAACATGTGTGGATGGAGTCAATGGATACACATGTACTTGTATTCCTGGATATGAGGGTGTGCATTGTGATGTTGGTAAGTGGATATGATGTCATCTACTATTGAAAAGGCGAGTCTGTCGCTAGATCATGGATTTTGAGTATTAGTTGGATAATGTGTGTCTCTTTCCAGATATAGATGAGTGTACCAGCACTAATCCATGTTCGAATGGTGGAACATGTGTGGATGGAGTCAATGGATACACATGTACTTGTATTCCTGGATATGAGGGTGTGCATTGTGATGTTGGTAAGTGGATATGATGTCATCTACTATTGAATAGGCGAGTCTGTCGCTAGATCACGGATTTTGAGTATTAGTTGGATAATGTGTGTCTCTTTCCAGATATAGATGAGTGTACCAGCACTAATCCATGTTTGAATGGTGGAACATGTGTGGATGGAATCAATGGATACACATGTACTTGTATTCCTGGATATGAGGGTTTGCATTGTGACGTTGGTAAGTGGATATGATGTCATCTACTATTGAATAGGCGAGTCTGTCGCTAGATCATGGATTTTGAGTATTAGTTGGATAATGTGTGTCTCTTTCCAGATATAGATGAGTGTACCAGCACTAATCCATGTTTGAATGGTGGAACATGTGTGGATGGAGTCAATGGATACACATGTACTTGTATTCCTGGATATGAGGGTGTGCATTGTGATGTTGGTAAGTGGATATGATGTCATCTACTATTGAATAGGCGAGTCTGTCGCTAGATCACGGATTTTGAGTATTAGTTGGATAATGTGTGTCTCTTTCCAGATATAGATGAGTGTACCAGCACTAATCCATGTTTGAATGGTGGAACATGTGTGGATGGAATCAATGGATACACATGTACTTGTATTCCTGGATATGAGGGTTTGCATTGTGACGTTGGTAAGTGGATATGATGTCATCTACTATTGAATAGGCGAGTATGTCGCTAGATCATGGATTTTGAGTATTAGTTGGATAATGTGTGTCTCTTTCCAGATATAGATGAGTGTACCAGCACTAATCCATGTTTGAATGGTGGAACATGTGTGGATGGAATCAATGGATACACATGTACTTGTATTCCTGGATATGAGGGTTTGCATTGTGATCTTGGTACGTAGATAATTTGTTTTAAGACTAAATTCAATTTTTATTGCTATAACATGGATTTTGAGCATCATTCTAAGAATATTTATCTCCTTCCAGACATTGATGAGTGTGCTAGCAGTCCATGTTTGAATGGCGGAACATGTGTGGATGGAGTTGATGGGTACATATGTTCCTGTGTTCATGGATATGAAGGACCGGACTGTGAAGGTAGATCTAGTAAATGAAAAATATTTAATCCAAACATAGTACGTGCAATACTCAGGGCCCATAATGTTAAAAGATCCTCATTTCTGATTTAATCCAAGCCAAATGTCTTTAAAACACTGAATCCATAGAGATATTTAGATCGTTGTGTCAGATACATTCACCTCTCTAACTGTGAACTCAAACCCTGAGATAAATAGCTTTAATCTTTTAGTCCCTCGTCTTTCCATTTATATTTCTTTAGGGCATATTCTCCTTTTGTCAAAGTGGGCACTGTATGAAATTAAATCAGAATAACTTTGAAATCTGTACTAGGATACCAGTATCTACTGCAATAAACAAAGGTCATTTGAATAGTATCAAGATCATAGACTTTTAATAAATTGTCTTACCTGTTACAATTGTGAAATAATTTTTTTACTGTAGTATTTATTGTGTGTATTCATCAGTGTATATTGTAATGCATTTTCGTCACATTTCAGACATTGCTGGTCGCCTGTACGTTTCATCCATTTCTCCCTTTACTGACTTGAAGTTTATAGACGGACTTACATATGGCATGTGGGGCAAGGATCCCCTCAGTGACACAGCTAATGGAACAGTTATACAGATAACTGGTACTTCGTCACAACAAATGACCAAATACAGTTCAATGGCTGATTTTATATCAAATACAAATCCAGTATCACATAATCTGCGTAGGTATTCTCTTTCTTCTCTCCATTCTAGAGAGCTTCCTCGAAAGTATAATGAACACGTTTGTTAAGTCCAAAGTGTTCCGTTGGTCAAACTATGCTAGATCTGTACCAACTGACCAATGTGGTCGAGTTTTATTATTACTTTTGTAATATTTGACAGAAAAGTAAGTTCCAAGATGTTTTCGTGCACGTCATCCTTCCTCAAATGATACTTCAAGAGAATGCCGATTTATTAATTCAAGGAATCGATTTTTCATAAAAATGTACAAAGATATGGTGTATGTTTTAATTTGGTCTATCATTGTTAGCTTTGAATAGTTTTGCATGCAGCTAGTCAGCTCAAACTTATTTTAAGCAGTTAACCTGGTATTATCGATCCTAATTGGCGCTTGAAATCAGTTACCGTTTGCATTTTTCTGTAGAAAGTAAAAAGTTGTCATGAAAATGGTGATAATAGATAGGTATTTATCTTTACCGAAGCAGACTATGAAAATCGTTATTTTGACCTAGATTGATTTATCACAGAATCCACGTGGTATGTATTTAATGTATTTGTTCCATAAACATATTTTTACTTAAATTCTCATTTTCTCAGATCATTCTTGCGAAGGTGATGGATATGTTTTCTACAATGGATCGTTGTACTACCCAATGCTCAATTACAATAAAATTGTGCGCTACAATATAGATTTGGATCAGAGTGTAACGAGTACATTGCCCGTGGCAATTGGTACACATAACACATACCAATACCAATGGGGTGGCTATTCTGATATTGACTTTGCTGTTGATGAATATGGCCTTTGGATGATCTATGCGACATCTGACAATTTGGGAAAATTTGTAGTGAGCAAAGTTGATCCGATTGATTGTAGTTTTCTACAGACATGGATCACTGATTCTCCGACGAAAGGTATCACTGGGCAAGCGTTCATGGTAAGCGGTATGTTGTACGTTGTGAACTCGTATAGCAGCATGACTCACATATCTTACGTATATGACACCTTTTCAAGCACAGGGAAGACGTTGAGTCTGTCTGATATCCCCATTGGACCTGGTCACGGATACCTCACGCATATGTCATACATGCCCGGTTCAACATCATCTGGGCCAGTCTTGAATACTTGGGACGATATGTACGCATCAACATATGACGTCTCCTTGTCCAATTCAGTATCTTGGTGGCAAACGAGGATGTATCTATCTCATATTGACACTGCCATTGATATAAGATCTGGGGGTAATACACATGGCGCGTGGCTTATGGACCCGGCATTTGATTTTGTGGACAGAAAGTTTTGGGTACTTGAGGGCTATAATTCATTCAATACATTCCTACGATATGATAATTCAGCTGACTTCGTTGCTGACAATAACAGCGCTCTTGTTTCCCTTCCTTCCCTGTCTTGTGATGGGACCGGGCATGTTATCTGGAACGACTATTTTTACTGCCACGAGGCATATACAAGTAACATACTGAAATTCGACCTACTAGGCAATCCGGCACTGGTTTCCTCAACGCTCCTCTCTGGGGCAGGCAATAGAAACACGTATGCATACAAATGGGGTGGATACACAGATATTGATTTGGCCGTTGATGAGTCGGATCTGTGGGTCATGTATGGCGATACGATAGAAGCAACCGGTAATATAAAGATCGCTAAAATCAACAAACAAACGATGACCATTGAAACAACTTGGTCTACAGCTAGATCTAAGACTTCAAGTGGAAATGCCTTCATTATCAGCGGTATCATGTACGTACTGAACTCGTATAGCTCGCCGAGTTACATTGACTACGTGTACGATACGAATACAGGTACAGATGCATCCCTTGGTCCTTCGGACATCCCGTGGCCAGCCTCTTCGCATGGATATTTGACTCAGTTGACGTATATCCATGGCCAAGAACCCTCACTTCTTGCATATGATGATGGTTTCATCCAAGAGTATCCCGTGACATTGGTGCCAACCAAGCCCAATTGGTTACCATAATCGTGAGGCATTAAGGTTGACGTATACTTAGCAGAAATCGGGTGCAAATTAAAATGGCCAGACTATTTAAGTATTACGCTCACTTATTGGATTTTTTACAAAAGAAACGTGCTTTCATCTTTTGAAAGGTGTCTAACATATCACTAAAAGACGAAAGAATTTGGACTTTTTGAGCAATGTATAAATTGAACATATTGGACATGTTTCCAGAAATTCTGTTTATCGACCTTTCCGATAAAACTATTCTGACTACTTTTGAGCCACGTCTCAGAGGCCTACAGGAATACCTATTTCGGCATGTGAGTTAGATAGTCTCGCTTTGATTATTCTAATAATCACGTGGTGTAAAGACAGGGAGAACGCCCAGTGTTCAAAGATGACGTACGTCTCTAATGACGCCTGACCACCGACAACGTACATTGACAAGATATACCACCGTACACTTTAGGTGTACGGTGTCACTATTTACTGGTTTGAAGCGAAAACTTTGATGTTAGTTTGATTGCAAAAATTAATTTGAGGAGTACATCAAGGATTTCCTGTTTGATTTTGTGTGTATTCGATTTGGAAGACACGTTAAAAGATTTTCGAGCAGTGCTCGATTTTTTTCGTTGTTAATCTACCCATGCAATTGGTCAGTTTGGGAAATGTGTTTTTTACACATTTCCCTTGATCAATTTCTCCCCTGTCGCCTAAGAGTACCTAATATTTTTATGGGAATATGTTTCTCTAAACTACACAATTTAAGACGGTTGAAGGTTTTATGAATATTCATGTATTTGGTACAATTTAAAAAGTCAAAAATATACGTTTCCATCTCCAATGTACCTGTAAATGTAAACAATGCAATGATTTAATTTCAAAACGCATTAAAGAGATCGGGTCTCCTAAGAACACAATTAGAGTAACCCCCTGATTTTTTCGTGTTATTTGATGTAAAACAAGTTTGTTTATCAACTTATCAATTCTGAGGCTTGAATTAATTCGTTAACAGTATCAATTCGATGATTGTTCCTAGCCATGAATTTCCACTTACATCAATAGAAATTAAATTTAAAAAGCCCGCTCAAATTTGTTCCAGTCTGATTGGCTTTTTCCTTCAGATTATTTTGGCTTAGAGAAGGCATATTTATTACTTCTAAGGGGTTAAAATATAGATAAATCCCAAAAAACATTGTATTCTGTTTTCGCCTTATTGCGTTCAATTCTGACAGTTGGTTGTTCTTTTGGTTGTCCTGTTGATATCCTCAATATATTGGTGATATCGTGCTTATGATTTGGTCTCAAGATATATCTAAGGTACTCGATCTCTTTAAGGGTTTTATGAGTAACAAATGATGTTCAACGAACATGTACATGTATCCCTGGTACAGATAAATAGTCCATGGTATGACTTCCAAATATGAAGGATCCGTAGCACACTATTGCGCAGCAACATTTGAAGCAATATTTATGGAGGTGCATATGCCTTGATTCTTTTGAAATACCATTTGCTGAAAAAACGGCTTTCGGGTCGAAAAATGTCTTTCATCACAAGGGGTCAAAAAACGTTAATATTTTGATTCGAACTCTTATCCATTTTATAAGACTCAGACCGTTATTCTAAGCATACGAACAAAAAAATAACGTAGTAATAGGAATGGCAAAAATTAAAATTGTAGATCGATACACATAGGCCACATTTTATTTTCCTTCAAGATACATTTTGTACCGAAAAAATAAAAATGATAGGAAAATGTTGGCCCTGGTGACGGATAAGTAAGAGCAGTTTTTAGGGGAAAACTGAAAATTACCTATGCCCAGGGACCTATACCTTGAATTTTATCACTGAAATACATTTTTTAGTAAGGACTATCGTATTAGAACAACTTGTCAAAATTTGGTGTAAAAATACTGAATAGAACTGGAGATATTATCATTTCATCGATGTATATAAATAAAAATTATGGTGCCAAAAGGAGCCTATCGTCCTGAAAGGTATTACATAATAGGGCTCCATATGGAGCCCATCGTCGTGAAAGGGTGGTCTTACAAACTCTAATCACTCGAGAGGTGTATCAATACTCATTGCCGACCATTTAAATCCAAACATATTGAATATAAATAGAGATAACGAGGGGAGAAAGATAATGGTAAACATAGAAATACATGACATTATGTTTATTGTATTGTATTGTATCCTTTATTACCACAAGTGTATGGCAGGGCTGTCCACTCAGTCCGATCTGCTACATTTTAGCTACAGAGTTGTTTTCATGTAAACTAAGACAAGATATCAATATTTGGGTGTTGAAATACCTGGTTGTGACATGGGGCTCAAGTTGTTGCAATATGCAGATGACTCAACCCTTCTTTTGAAAAATGAAGCTTCATTTGCCAATGCCATGTTATTGATCGACAAATTTTCAATAATATCAGGTCTGAAAATTAATAAAAACAAAACTGAAGCCATGTGGCTCGGAACATGGAAATATAGACAAGATACCTTAGGTAATATTAATTGGAAGCTAAGTCCAAATAATAAAATTAAAATTTTGGGTATTACATTTTGTACAACTACCAGCGTAACAAATCTTGTACAGGACAATTTTGAGCCAAAAATACAAAAATGTGTTAATATAATGAAATCTTGGTCTCAGAGACATCTCACATTATTAGGCAAGATAACATTAGCAAAGTCTTTTCTTTCCTCACAATTTTTATATTTACTGCAAAGTTTTATATTGCCTGAACATCTTCTTAGAAGGATTAACAGAATGTTATTTAAGTTTATATGGGCGAAGGGAAAATTCAAGGAAGATGATTTAAATATGTTCCCGAAAGAGTTAAACGGGAAATAATTGTACAAGATTTTAAAAATGGAGGATTAAAAATGATTAATATATTTGATATGCAAAATGCTCTAGCATTTAAACGGATCAAACAAGATTTAACCATATTTCAATGTAATAATGATTTTAAAAATATTGTGAATACTGATAAAGTTCAAAGTTCAAAGACAGCTCTATTTTATGGCATAATGAAAATATCAAAGCTACAGGTAAAGAATTGTATTTTCAAAGCTGGATTAAGTGTGGAATAAATTGTATATGTGATGTTTGCAAAAATGGCCAGATCATTTCTTATGATGAAATTGTTTCCTCAGTAGGCAGAAATGCTGAAACATGGATGCAATATCAAACTTTGAAACAAGCACTCAAAAGGGAGATGATATTAGAATATCAAATTGTAGCTCCAGAAGATACTTTATACTTCAATGATACAGATGTGCAGTACTTAAATGTTCAAGACTTTAGGAAATTTTAATAGAAAAACGGGTTTGTGAAATTGTATTCAAAAATGAAGTTTTAACAAGAAAAACCTGGCTTAATGCAAAAAATTGTACAACAGCAACAGACCTAATTATACTACACTGGAAGATTTTACATTCAATATATCCATGTAATCTTTTACTGCATAGATATGGTATTTTAAATTCAAGCAAATGTACAAGCTGTGATGAAATAGATAATTTAGACCATCATTTCGTTAAATGCAAAGCAGTTGCTGAATTTTGGACTAAACATTTCCCAAATATAACTGCCAATCAAATATATGGAATAGGTAAAGTAAAGAAATATAACTGCCAATCAAATATATGGAATAGGTAAAGTAAAGAATTACAAAAATATACTGATAGCAAAGTTATCTATTCACAAATGGTATATTGAAAAATGTGTGAGTAACTTAAATACTCTTTATGAATTTGAAACCTCATCTTTGTACCATACCTGTAAATAATTATGTTAAACTGAAATAAATTTTATCAAAAAAAACAAACAAGTGTATATTGTGAGTTCATTTACAGTTTTTGTTTTGCATTAACATATTTACATAAAATTACATTTGCATAAGCATATTACGCTTTGCATACATTAGGAATACAGCCTTTGCTTTTAAAATCATTGCTTCATCATGGTCTGATTTGAAAGTTTGAAATATAATCTCATCATTACCAATTCTAAATAAATTGAGAAGTGCAACTCTTTCCGCATCTATGGAATTGCAGAAACGTAAAAAGTGATCCAATGTTTCTATTTCGCCAGTATCACATATATTACATTTTCTATCACCCCATTTTTTATTTCCATTAAGTGTTTGATTCATAAGCAGCTTGACCATTAATTTGCAATATTTTAAATCACTAGGGTATTTGAAACTGAGTGCCCACCATTTAAGTGGCTGGGCAAAACATTTTACACTTACATACAAATGTGTTGCACTTTTTATAGCACATTTAATCATAAACGATGCATTTTGGCTTTGACGTAGCCTACCTAAAACTAATGTTTAGTATCAGTATATGTTCCGAATGAAATAATAGCAAGAAATAAGTTTTCAGAAAAATTGAATACATGGATCTCAGAATACTTTCATCCAAACAGAAATACAATTGTGGGTGGGGATTTCAACTGTTGTTTGAGAGAACGAGATAGATTTCCAGTTAATCAAAAAAATAAAAACGATAGAATTAGAGCATTCTTAGAAAAAATGATAGAAAATTGTGAACTCAAAGATATATGGGGTAATAAAAAAGATGGTTTTACTTATTATGTAAAAATATGAATAGTAAAAGTAGAATTGAGTATATAGTACTATATACAGGGTGTCTCAAAAAAATGTACCCAAAAGTATATCAAGAGCACATATAAACCAATCAATATTTTCAGACATTTTTTGCATGGTCATATAGCCAAAACATGAAAGTTTTCTCCCCAATACACCATTTTTATTTCAGTCTTGTCTTTTTGATGCTTTAACCCTTTACCGTTTATACCACATAATCGATGTAACCTCATATTTCGATGATAGCCTGTATCCTTACTGCTACATTGTTCATCACATTTGATAATAATTCCGGTGGAATGTTTTGGATTTCTCTTTGGATGTTGCCCTTAAGTTGTCCTAGGTCTTTTTGCTTGGAATGAGCATTAAAACACTCCTTCAAATAGCCACAGAGAAAGATGTTTGAGGATGACGATGACAGAACAAACACAGATAATCAGGTCAATTATCGGCAAATGATTCAGGAGTTACCTCCCAGAGTTAGGTAGGCTAACCTGGAGACCAAATGATATCCAAATGAAAACACAGTGGTCTCAAATTGATAC